CTTCCTGGTGTGGCCAGAATCTGAGGGGCACTAAGATAGTTTAAGACCACATTTCTCCACATTCATCTTGGCTACTCCATCTCTTACACAAATCATCCCTCCTTTACTATATTGTTTAGGTCTTGTTACTATTTTTTTACTGTTTTGGTTCCTGAACGAGTAAAAAAAATAAACCAATAAGGAAAAAAAGAAAAGAGCCCAGGATTAGTCTAAGCTTGCTTTTATAAGCTGCATGCACATCCCTGATATGATATATAGTGGGTCATTTGAGGTTAGAAACTTATTAGCTTGTATTGGGGAGGTGGTGATGATGGCATGCAGATGGAAAAATGGCAAAGGGAATAGATAGAATGCTGCTGCACGTGATCTCTCTGCTCCTCTCCGATATATGAAATTATTCTTGTATTAAACATCTAGCTTCTTTGTCTTTAAAGACCGAAGTCTTGTCTCCTTCAAGGTCTGAAACTTAACCAGGGATTTTTAGTCTTATGTCTTGCCTTGTAGCAGGGACATGAGGTATGGTGCAAGATACGCACCTTGATGTCTTTATGAAAGCAAGCTGAGGCCTGTGAAAATTTTTGCAACCTCTTAAAGAATATATCTAGTGAAAAAAACAAGTAATCGAGAATTTATTTTTAACACCACATGCACTTGACTTCATATTGAGCTGCAGAAGCCTGATATTTTCTTGCCTTCCAGTGTCCTAGCAAGCAGAGAGGAAACTGGTGATGGGGACAGCACGGAGTGGAAGGCACAAGGGATTTACAGGTGCTAATCCCAGCTCTGATATTGGGTGACTGGGGTGACAATGGGCAAGTCACTTTACTTCGCAGTTGCCTATCAGTAAAGAACAGGAGGTTAATACTTGTAATGCTTCTCTCATGTGAAATGCAAGGATTAGAAGGGTTGGTGTGTGTCCAGAGCATCCAAGATGTGAGAGCTAAGTGCTCGTACAGAGTCTTTTGTCCTAATATGGCTCCTCTCTGTATTATCGCAGCAGGTAGTGTGCATGCTGCCAGTCAGAGCCTGGGTCTGTCCTTTCCTTGAACCTCCTTGCAATGGCTCTTACAGAGCAGGGTTTTCTATTTTTTTACAGTGGGAAGACTGATACTGTCAATCTTATGTGGACAGGATTAAAAAAAAAAAAAAAAAGCTTAATTCACCAGTAAATTACTTTTGATCTCCAAATCTAATAGGAGACTAGTTGTGCTTACTGTTCTGGGATTTTTAGAATTTGTTTGCTTGCTTAGAATGAATGGGAAGAGTAGTACTACAGTGAAATGAGAATCTGTCATATCTGGGAAAGATAAAAGGGCGAAACTCAGGAAACTCAGGAAAATACTTCTTAGTGGTTTTTTCCCCTTCAGGCTATGTGCTATTTACCTTCTCCTAGGTCCTCAAAGAGTTGGCACTGGCATACTTTCGATCCTCTAGCACTTTGCTAAAGTAAAGGATTTTAGATGCTGATGTGGACTCAGGAGAGCTGAATTCTCTTCTGTGCCACAGATTCAAGAAAGATGTAGTGTCTGTATTCCTTATTTTCCAGCCTCTGGAATAATGCTCTTTCTTTCCTTTGCTTTTTCTGTTTGACTTTTCAGACTGCGTATTCTCTTCTTCGGTGGCATCACTCAGACACACTCACACATACACAGATAGACGGATGGATACAGATACACAGCATTTAGTGGGAACTCTGTAAGCCGTACAGTCACAGTTAGAACCAGTGCAACACTTGGAAATGATTAAACTGCTCTTGTTGGCCTGTTTGGAAACGACATGTGTCCTACTACTGTGCCATATAATGCGCCAGCAAAACATTGGCGTGCACAGAAATGGAGGCAGGTGCTGAATGATGCCGTTGGTTTATCAAAAATCTCCTAGTTGGGGGCTATCCTAAAAAAACCCACATCGGACTGGAGGGAAGAGGGTTGGCAGGTGACCAGCTGCAAATCCGAACTCAGAAATCCTGGCTGCGACATAACCATGTAGTACTTGTGGAATAATCCCTGCAGCACTTATTTCTTGCACTTGACCACTGGGGAATGTGTCTGGCGTCCTTCTCACTCCTGTCACGTTGGGGGCTTTGTCAGATCAGAATGCATCGTTGCTGTGCTTCTCCGTGTCCCTTGACTTGTCGTAGGCACAAATCTTTTTCAAATGTTCTCCCCTGTTCATTTCCATTATTATATCTGGTGCTTCTAGGTGGCAAGCAAAAATGAATAACCTTGTAAATGCTCCCTGTCTTTCAATTTGTTTTATTTTTCATACAACGTGTCAGTGCATTTTTGTTGAGTGTTTTTAATAAGATGAAGTTGATGAAAATAAATTGCTTTGCAGTTCCTGCTGTGGGTGACAGAAATGCTGGGTCTGTAATTTTCCAAAACTGTGCATTTGAAACCAGGGTGGAGGGTGTTCTATATGCCTGTAACTGCAATCATCTTTGTAAAATACGTCCCTGAGAAAGAAAGCAGCTAGCAATTTGAATTTTAGGGGGCAAGATGCACTGCTGTATCCAGCTTCTGCTGAGCACAGTGAGAGAGGGAGCTGTCAAGGAGAATTTTAGGATTGATTCTGTGCCAGGCTTGGGTCTGCCATATGGGATAGTTAGCCAGATCTGTCTCTAGTATGAGAGGGAGAAGGAATTATGTAGCAAACCCTCTTACCAGACTCTCTGTTAGCCAGGGCTTGGAAAGTGGGGATTAGGACTTGAAAATGTGGACACCCCACTACCCCTGGCTTTTGCGTATGAGCTTTCTTCTGAGTGTTCAGTGTCTTGCTCAAAAAAAATAATGCAGGTGAACGGTGACCTCCAGATTACCAAGGTATACTCATAGACGGTCTGGTAACTACTCATCTCTTCTCAGAGAGAAGATAACCCACATATTCCAAAGTGATTTTCAAGTCAATATTTTTCTCTTTTTTCGACTTGTTTTAATGGAAAAAAAGGGCAATATTACCATATTTCTTCTAAATGTTTCTATTTTGATGAAAATTGCAGAAAATAGCATTTTAATTCCCTAAAGTTTATAATTTCGTTTTGTTATCCACTTTTTTGTGCTTTTGTACTGCTTACTGAGCTGGCAAGACAATATTAACGTCCATCTCTCACTGCATTCTCTGCTGCATTTCTGTAAGGCAGGGAAATGCTTTCTCCTTGGGCTGGGCGTTGGGAGCTGACGCATGGAAGTTGTGCAGGAGCTGCTGGTGGACCAGGAGCTCAGGTCCCACTTTTGCAACTTCAAAGCTGATGCCATTATCATTAAGGCAATTTTACTTTCCTCGGAACAGCTTTGAGTCCTTCTACTGTTCCATCTTTCAGGAAACGTTGAAAACAGGAATCATTAAGCCCCCAGATTTATAATAATATTTCCTTTTCAAATTTAGAATTTTTTTCTGATATTATTGCTGCTTGAGGTACAGAAAAGGGAGTATCCCGGATTAATTATTTTTGTTGTCCACTCAAATTTGAAGAGTTGGATTAATATTGGTAATAAAACCAGCTTGCTGTAAGTCAGAACACTGAGAGACAGGGATCATACTGCACATACAGTTCAGCCTGGTCTGCTGTGCTGTGGGGAGGAGGGGACGGAGAATTCCACTCAACATTGAGAAAAATACCTAATTCCTGTTATCAATTTTCCGGTGACATCCCTCAAACAGACTGCCAAAGGTTTGAATGTGCTGTTCACCCTTGATTCTTGCTTTGCAGAAACCACCTTTCAGATCACATGCCTTGCTGTGCAACCCCAAAACTCACTTCAGAGGAGTTAGGCAGTAAGGGTGGAGTACAGCCTACTGCCTCTCCTACAGGGATTAAGCCAGCTAACAGAGACAAAAAACAAAAGTGATTTTTCAGTAACAGTAATAATAATTTGTTGTTTAAACTTGTCATTTCAGAGTCTGACTAAATAATCGCACTGCATAATTTCTTCATTCCGTGTTAGAATAGTATATGCTGGGCAAGCAAGCAAGCAAGGAGACAGTGGAGCACAAAACCACAACAGAGATGGAAAACTCTGTGGAGGTCTCCAGCAATCCTCTTGACAATAGAAGTCTATTGCCTAGTCCATAGAATATCTAGTTTATTTTAAAATGGTTCAGTTGTTGGTGTTCCGGCCACTTCCCTGGGGAAACGATTTCATTCCCAGTATTAGGCAGCATTTCCAGAGATTTGTACTAAGTTGTGCTCTGCTTGGCTGCCTTTCATTACCTCTACTTAAAACAACAAGGTTGTCCAGCCGTGGCAAGTCCTTCCCTTCCAGAAGATTTCACTCTTCTCTCTAGGAGTGCCAGGAGTGCTGTGTGAGGTCTGGGGTTTCCTCTCTTGCTCCTGGGTCCCTGTTGTGCTGCATTTATTCACTCAGTGTCACGTTTTTCACGTGTTAGCTGCAAGGGAGGGAAGCTACTCCAGCAGATCACTGCTGTTCAGCAGCAAAAGCTGAAACCCTGACACAGGCTGCACACGCGTAGTTCTTTTTATCTTTTTTCATAATTTAAACTATTCGCCTTTACTTTTTTTTTTTTTTTTAATTCTCTCGAATTTGTTGACAGCTGTCTGGTTCTCAGGTGTCCAAGGCAGAACAGTATGTGAGTGCAGCTTTGCCACAGCTGTTTTATAAAGGAAGTGTCAGTTTGGTTAAGAGACCTGAGGCTTCCTAGTACACAGCCTTACTCCACTGTAGCTTTAAGACCTGCTGTGAAAGCTTAGACCTGATTATACTCTTCTTCCCTTCCTGGTCTTTTGAGTCATTTTTGGCTTCTGGATTATCTCTCACTACTATATTGAACACTGAATCCAACAGTGGCATGTCTGAAATTTGCAGAACCCCTTTTAAAAATATTAATCATCCTGATTTTAAAATTCTGATTCTCTTCCACTGTTCTTTCCAGAAGTATTCTCCCTGACCACATGTAAATGGAGGTGTCTGTTTATAACTGTTTGAGTTGAGGGGATTGGTATGATGATGTGCTTACAAAATCATGCCTTTGTTATTTTCTAGGTATTTGGTGCTAGAACATGTGTCAGGTGGGGAGCTCTTCGACTATCTCGTAAAAAAGGGAAGATTGACACCAAAAGAAGCCAGGAAGTTCTTCCGACAAATCATCTCTGCTTTAGACTTCTGCCATAGTCATTCAATATGGTGAGTACAGCCATTTCCAACAGGAGTTACCTGTTACATAAAAGCACAGAATCAAGGGAACTTATTTCTTGGTTCTTTTACTTACTCTTCAGTAACTGATATTGCGAAGCTCTAAAAGCGTTGTGTAAAGTGCTGATGTATTTTTGAATTCTTGACTGTGAGATACTGTGCAAGTCACAGATAAACTTTTGATGAAGAAGATTGTCCAACATTTCTCTCCGGAGGAGAATTCATTCACAGGCAATGCTTTTAACCAGGAAAACCAAAACCACCAAGGAAAAGCAGTTTAATTTCCATCGTTCTTGGAGCACTTACTAATAACTGAGAATTACATACACCATATCAAAATGAATCCCTGAAGAAACTTGGGACAATTACTAATACAGCAAAATCATTTTATGCCTTCCTTCAGTTTTTGGAAACCTGCTGGCTTTTGGCAACATTGACCGAGTCCCTTCTGGGCATCTGATTCACCGTTGCCTTTAATTTCCTTTCCAGTAGGGAAGATCTTCCTTGATCTGACTGCTATTGATACTCACTAACTCCATCATATGATCTCACCATCAAGGGTAGTTTAACCTGTGCTTTCGGGTGGCATTTTAAATTGGACCAGTTTCTCCTTCATCTTCAGCAAGTTTAGGTAATTTAAATTATACTGAAACCAAGTTGTTATAATCAGTCTGAACACAGCTTCTGTATAGCTGCTGACCCATAACTGCCTGCTTATTCCTCAGAAATGCAGTTCCTCACAGTTACATTGGCTGGGGGAGACCATTTACATTATGTCTGCGTGGCTGCTTCTCCATAGCCACAGACAGCCGTAGATCCCCCCTCCAGGAGGCCAAGGGCCACTGCTAGATGCTGCAGTAGGTGGATTTGCATAATCACTGTGCTGTTACTCCTCAGTAACTGTACAATGATTTTCTGTGCCCAGAGTTTTGTGGTGAGAACTCGCAAACCAGATGTCCACAGCATAAGTGGCCACATTAAAAATGGATGCCTGAATATATTTAACTTGCTCTTCCAGCTCCCTTCCTCTCCACCTCTGACTCATTTCAACAGGAAACATTAATCTGAAAGAGAGTATATTTGTAATAAATGGAAAGGGAAATAAGAGCCTTTCTTGAGGATATATTAAGAAGAGGATACTGGTAGCAGAAGAAGCGGTTCAAAGGTGGGGGGCCTGGGTGAGAAGGCCCTGAGGACAATGCTTGCCTGGCACAGGCAGGGTTACAACAGTCAGAGAAGTTCCCAGAGGAGCCAAGAGCAGGTTGTGTGCCCTAACTAGAGGATCTAAGTTTTCTCTGTTGGCAGAGACTTCTGACAAGTTTTTTTCTGTGAATCCCCCAATTTTTCCTTGCTGGTAATCAACTGGGTGGAGTGAGCATGATCTTCTTATAATCAGCATAATTCATGGTAGGTTGTACAGCTGTTATTTTTTATGTACACTGGGCAGTGTAACCACTGGTGGGTTGCATACACACGTTTCTGTTCCCTACTCGGTTAACACTTAGAGACCCAATCCAAGAAGACTCAAAAATGTTTAAGTACAACTGAAGAAAAATTATTTACTCTTCCAAATGAATATTCCAGAGAAGTATGAATCTCCATTGAGGTAGAAGTTTCTACGAAAGCATGTGTCTGTACACATACATACTAGTCCTTTGGGCTTGTGGTGGATGCCTCTTGATATGGCAGACTCTAATAAACTGAGCGAGGATCCTGGTGAGGCTGTCAGACAGGCAAGCACCTCTGCAGGTTTAACGGCATGTGGAGTTTTGAAGGCAGAGTGCATGTGTCTCTTGAGGAATCCATTTTCCTCCGTCAAACATAGCGGGTTGTGGGCAGTAGTCTTGTTTAGAAGTAAAACCCTTGTCTCCTTGCCAACTCCCACTCGACTAGCATCTAGTGCTGAGTAAGTGAGCAGTAAATCATAAGCTCTCCCTCCCTCCAGGTCACTCTGAGACTTGTGTGGTCTGTGTTATATTGGACTCTGTGTTGTATTCTGGACAGTTATCACTAAACCCTTTTAGAAAATCTGAGCGTGCATAAATATATGTGTGTGTGCGTGTATGTGAGTATAAAAGTTGATGTGCTTTCCTAAGCAATGAAGCCTGACCTTGTCCTGTCGTGGGGCAGTGAAATGACAAATCATCTCATCAGCCAGGTTATCCAGTTATGACCACATTGAAAAATGAAGGCTTCTGCTTTGGTTAATGACTAAGTGTGGGTGCCTCTAACCTACTGGCAGAATAGATTGATAGCCTGGTGTCCCCAGCCCCAGATCATTGTCCCGTCTTCTTCCCGTACCTCCCGGAACACTGCGAAATATCTGTGGCTTTCTTTCACAGCAGTGTGTAACCCCATGCAGCTTGCACTGCTCAAAAAGTATTGATGCACCAGGGTTCCCGGATCAAAGAATCAGAAAGGATTCCCCAATCTTCCCGTAAAAGGGTTCTACTGCTGCTGCGTGGAGAGATCGCCTGTGTCTGAGAGCTGTTTTCAAACAAGCAGCTCAGACGAGGAAGCGGAACAGACATGGAGCTTTAGCCTGGTTTTGTGTTGTTTTAAAAAAGTAGGAGTTTTCTGTTCTTATTTTATGTAATGGAAACAATGGGGGGAATATTTGATGTGCCTCGCTCGGAGGTGCAGTCACTTATAGGGTTTTGTGGTGCAGGTTGGCCGTGGGGGAAAGCTTACAGGTAACCAACCCACTGCCGGGACTTTTGGGTGTACAGAGCACCGTGCCGTGCCAGGGACCCACAGGCAATCGTGCAGAGGTATTACGTGGGATCCTGCAGACAGTGTATCTGCGCTACCTCGCTGCTTTGCCCGAGCTGGCAAGGCCAGCTCTTCGCTCAGTGATGCAGCGTTATTGCTTCTGCTGCCAGCTCTTCCTCCATGCTAGCTCCGAGGGCTCTGCACCGTGCTGCAGTGCCCGGGGCAGAACCGCTCAGCAGCGGTGCGAGAAATGGCAGAGGAACCCGGGGCCCCGTGGACGTCAGTGTAAGAGCACACGAGCCTAGGAAGTTTTCTCTGGACACAACCGATGGGTTTTTGCCGCTCACCTAATGCTGTTGTGTCTGCTCTCCTAAATTCAGGGCCTTTAGGCTGAGCTGGGGGGCCCCAAATCAATAGTCCCTTCTGAAGAACCTGCCTCCGTGCTGAGGGAGAGCTCTCCCCTAATTCAGCGCCGACTGTATTTTCTGTCAGCACACAATGTAGGAGCACGTCGCGGGGGTAGGTCGCAAATCCTGGCTTTCCTCGGGAAGAGCCTCTTTGATGTGGAGCGAGGGAGCGCTGCGGGCGAAGGGAGGGAGGGGGGAGCCGGCGGGTGCCTCATTGGCTGCCCGTGACATCACCGGCGGCAGCCCGGATTGGCGGCCGGCGCGTTTTGTGCGTGCTGGGTTTTTGCTTTGGTCAAGCTCATATTTGGTGTCTGTATCTCACATGCTGACAAATAAAAATATGATTACAGAAAACGCCCCGTGGCAAACCTTATTACGGCTTCAGAGATAACAGATAATGCCAATTACTGCACAGGGCAGTGGTGACATTGAGAGGAAATCCCCTGCGGTAATGAGCAGCAAGATGATTATTTCATTTTATTTTTATTTTGGTTGGGTTTCATTTTGTGTTTTTTTCCCCGAACATGCACAAGAGGGGTTAAGGCAGGTTCTTTATGAATATTGATAAATGACAATTATGAGGGCCCTTTCTCCTTTCATTGCCTGGGGCTGTGCTTGCTTGAGTAAGCACAGGGCTCTTGCTGAAGTGTGTCTGTGTGTGCATGCGTAGGCACGGGGGTGTGTGACTTAGAGGGCTGAGGCAATGAATAAGAGCTTTGTCTGACTTTGCCTTGTGTTCTTCCTGCCAGTGCAGTGAGGGGAAAGGCTCCTCATAACATAACGCTTCGAGATTTCACAGCACTAGTGCCAAAATCTCCGGTATATCCCTGCAGACAGGAGCTGCAGAGCACTGTTGGTAAAGGAAGCACACTTTTAGGGAGAAATCTGGGGTGTCTTCGAAAAACGGAGGAAGCTGGAGAATGCCAGGTGCCATGTTCTGTCAGCTAGTGCCACCCTCCTCGTGACTCCTGCTCTGCCTTGCTTCTTTTGTAAGGAGCGTACTGTGGTGATCTGCAGGGATGGCCTGTCAAACACTGAAGTCTGACGCAGCTGGACGCTTTGAAATCATGACTCAGAGCTTCCAAATGTAAAACTGATCTAGAAATTGTGGAATGTGTTAAGGTTGGTTTCTGGTTGGGTTTTTGTTTTTTTTTTTTTTTTTTTTCTGGTCCTTGAGTCTTTAGGTTTTCAAGTTTTCTTTCAGACCATCAGAAGTGAGAAAGGTACCTTTTTCCCTTGGTGAGTGCTGAGATTCACCAATCGTTGCCTGAATCCAGGAGTTTCAGATCTGTGGTTGAGATTCACTCTAAAACAGCAAGGAATTTTCAAATTTCCCTTGTACAAGAAACAGGAGAAAAACCATCAAGTACAGCAGGTGCAATGCCAAAGGCAAAGTTACCAGCTCAGCTACAGTCAGAGAACATGTATGTTTTTCAAAATTTGCTTCTTCGTATAAGCCTCTGGAAACTCAAAGCTGGCACAGTCTTACGGCAAGCATAACCAGGTACCATTCTCTGGGAAGTACAGCAGTGCTGATCGTACCTGACAGTCTGTTCTGGCTTTGAAATACATGAATATATGTTTTGAGGTGAGGTTGGTAGAGAGAAGCAATGTATTTTAATAAATCAATGGAAAGAATTGTTAGATAGCAAGCAAGGTTTTATGCATGCGTACCCTTCTCCAGGTCTCCTGATATGTTTGTAGATGTTGTCCTTTTTTTGTAGCTATAACTATATTTACTTGTTCTGCAGAATTCTGTGAAAACTTACTAAATTTGAGCATAGCAACCATGGCTCTAAACAAAGATTCTTCTGTAGGTAGATACGAGTTCCACGTTCAGATCTGATTTGCAGAAGCAAGAGAAAATAAGAT